AAATAGTTTTAGTGAATTCATTTATTAATTGTCTCATGAACGTTAAAAATGTTAGCATTTCAGATAGAAATTTTTCAGTTTATATCTATATTGGTATCAAATCCTTTTAAAAGTTTTTATAAATTTTAGCATTTTAAAGGCTCTTTGCTAATTTCTCTGCAGAATAAATTTATTAAATATACCAAATTCAACCAAAACATATTTTAATCATTTAAAAATATTTATTCCAGTTTACTTTCGAAGCATTTTAAACAACTTCTGAAATTGTCAGTGAATTGTAATTGTCCCATTTTCATTCTGTGTTTATTAATGTATTTTCTGTAAAGCTTCATGGAACCTGGGCTGCTTGTTGGCAGAGGATGGAGCAGAGTCCTAGAGAGCGAGAGAATGGGGCGGGGGAGCAGGAGGGCTCACAGACCTCCAATTCCTTTACCAACCATCAACTGTGGCTTCACATATTTTAAACAACCTTTAGAAATATAAAAAAGAAATGAGTTTTGAGTACATTAATAATTTTAGTAAATTTAGCAAACTGGTCATTGGCAAATTGGTTCCTTGGTAAATCAGGTTTTGGTGGATTGGTGTCCTCCAGTGCACCTGGATCCTTCTGCATCACATAAAGGATCAGCTTCCATGTGGCTTTATGAACAGAAAAGCTCATCATGGCACTCCTCTGCTTAGATCCCTTGTTTTGCCATTCTGTGAAGAAGAGTCAGGTGACTTTCAATTGTGCAAAGACCCATACACCTAAATCCCACCTGTAATCATACCAAACCACATGATGTGAGTGCCCTTCCCAACCCCCAAGCCTTGCTGAATGCCCCTGTCTTCACCCCAGTAAGTGTTCTTGCCTGAAAAGGCCCTTTATCGCTGAGACATCACCTCCTCTGAGAAGCGCACCTGGAAGCCTGTCTCAGTCCCGCCATGACTTCTACATTGTCAACTCCCTGTCCTCCTCATCTTGAAAAAGTGTTATTCATGAATTAATCCACAAATAACCATCATCCTCTGGCCCTATGTTGCCAGCCCACTGTGAGAGAACAGAAAGTAACTGAACCAACAGCCACCATTACCAGTTTATAGTTTTGTGTTCTGAACCTTCAACACTGTCGTTAGTCAGTGTGTATGCCATTCCCTTAGTGACTGCTGCAAACTTTTGTCTTTTCATTTTTCCCCACGTGTGTCTCCCCTTCCACGTGTGAACTCCTAGAAGGGAGAATCCTTATATTTTCATCCTTGAAACCCAGGACCTTCACTCTGTAGGGGTATAAAAATATTGTACAGTACCCACCGTCTGGGATCTGCTGGGTTTCGGGAAGGGTGACAGAACTACAGGAAACAAGACTGCATAGAGGTGTCGGAGCTGAGTTGCCTGGGACCCTGATCATGGGTGGGGAGTGCAGGGCACTCAGCCTGCAGCTGGGACAGGGCTCTTAGACATGTGGCAGCAGTTACAGTGAGGAGCGGCCAGTCCCTCTTCCTCTAAATCCAGTGAAGATGGGTGAAGTCTGTCCTCCTAGGCCATGTAGCTCACAAAGCTGCACTCACTTTGTTCTTCTCTCATCGGTTTGTGTGTGACTCTGTGTTTTGCACTCAGGTTTCCCCATTTGTGAGCCCACTGAGAGCAGGACCAGGCTCTGAGAGCTGAAGTTGTGATTAAATGGCAGTTCTGTGCTGGCACTTCAGAGGGAAAGGCAGGGGGTTCATGGTCAAATGCATCTAATGTGCTCCCCCTCCTCCCCCTTTTCTCTCTGTAATGATGGGGTAAGTGGTAGAGATTAAAAATCATAGAAATTCCAACATGTGAACAGAGATGAGAAATAACAAGAAGACTTTGCTGTCTTTATTCATGATGTCAACAAAGATGAACCCATACATTACATCCAAACTCACGTGCACGTGGCTCAGCGCGGATCATGGGGATATCTCTGCGCTCATGACTGTCCTGTGAGATGTGTGTTCCACCTACAGATGAGGCAAATCTGAGTCTTTCGTGGTGAAATGTTTATCCGTGGTCACTCTGCTACTAATTTGACTCTTCAGATTCCTAAAATGTGATTTTAATGAGACAGGTTGTGTGGAGAAAGGATCTACTTTATATGTGTCATGGGAAATGCATATAACTGGTTGCCTAAGGGTTCATGTGGGGACATATGTGAGTAGCTCCGTAAAGATTTAGAAAAATTTAGGGATGAATGCTTGGTGATTTTTTTTTAAAGGGAAATAATGCTCTGGGGACAGGATTTCCATGTGACTGCTGCATTAAGGAGGCCACAGACCCTTTAAAATGAACAATGTTTCTTCGTTCCTAAAGTGAATGCAGAATGGGTCCTGGATGGTGCTTTGGTGACAGATGGTTACTATGTTCCTGGTGAACCCCACTGACCAGCACAGATTCCAAGGATTCCAGGGAAGGCAGCTTCTCCCTGAATTTCCAACAGGAAGGAGTTCCCAAGCTTAAGATTCCATCTCAGGGAACAGAGGACATCGCTGGGGAGTCTCCCTCCCATAACCCGGACTCATATTAATGGCTGCTTCTTTATCACAACTGCTACCCATGTGGCCCACACTGCCTCACCCTAAGGGCCCTGCCTCCATAGGGGCCCAGCCAGATGGTTCAGGTGAGGTGCTTTGAATTGGCATGTTGCCTTCCTCCCAGGCCAGGCCAGCAGCAGCTGCCCTGAGTACTGTCTCCAGGATGGGGACAGTGAAGAGAAATCTAGAAAACTTGAGAATGCTGACTGGGTCAGGGAAGCAGCTGGCAGAAGCCCAAACCAGTACTTTCATTTTTAAAAAAAATATATTTTATTGATTTTTTACAGATAGGAAGGGACAGGAATAGAGAGTTAGAAACATCCATGAGAGAGAAGCATCCATCAGCTGCCTCTTGCACACCTCCTACTGGGGATGTGCCTGCAACTAAGGTACATGCCCTTGACCGGAATCAAACCCGGGACCCTCCAGTCCCCAGGGCAACGCTCTATCTAGTGAGCCAAACTGGCCAGGGCCAAAACAAGACCTTTCAGATGAGATTTTCACCAATCAGAAAAGGAGTCTAAGCTGACAACCTTGTTGCTAGTAGAGACTCTGTGTGAAGAGGCCTGTGAGACCCGGGAATCCCCAGGCCTGACGCAGCCTCTGCTGCCAGGCCCAGAGCAGAACCAAGTCCACAGCCCAAAACAGAACCAACCACACAGCCCAGAGCAGCACCGAGTGCCCAGACCAGAGCAGAACTGATGGAATTTCCCACTCTGAAAGGAGGGAGGTGATGGGCCAGAGGCCTCTGTTAATTCTGAGGGACCCTGAGTTGGGGGCTTAGGGCACTGAGGCACCTTCAAGTTCCATCTCTATTGTTCCTTGTCCTCCAGCCCCATTCCAGGTCTGAGTTGGATGTTCCTAGCTTATGCTTCCACCCTGACTCTGGAGTGAACCTGACCCTGACCCACCACTGCTGGTCGGAGCCCAGGACCGATGCCCTGGCTTAGGGGCTCTGGAGCGATGCACCCAACAGAGAAAACAGGACCAGCTCACGGCCTCCACATGCCACTAATGCCACCTCTTGTCACTGCCTCCTCTTTGCTTCTTTTACCTGGTGAACTCCTTATATTCTGCTTTCAGATCTTGTCCTCCAATTTAAAAGGAGAACCTAAAATATAGGGAAGAAAGAGAGAGAGAGAGGGAGAGAGAGAGAGAGAGAGAGAGAGAGAGAGAGAGAGACTTATCTGTTTATTAATGTTTGCCAGGCATCGTCTTAATTGCTCTATAACCATTCAGCATTATCCCTGGTCATGGGCGAGAGGAGGCTGAGGAATAATGCATTTATTAAAAACCCCGTCAATAGTTCTGCCAGGGGCCACAAAGCATGAGCTGTGAGTGTGAACAGCCATTCCCTCAGTCACATGGTGCAGGCCCCAGGGCGCTTCTCCACTTCTTTGCTCTCTGATCTGAAGCTACAGGTGCCTGTGTCCTGTTTATGTGAATGTTTATGGTTGTGCCTTTATGGCATCAGATGGACCTGCCTCATAATCCAGGGAGGATTGAAGCAGCAGAAGAGTTTAGAAGAAAAAAATGAACTTCAATGTAGAACCCACCTCAGAATATCCCACTGGAGAAGTGAGGGATGTTCTCACCTTTCCTTAGTCTTCAGATACTGTCACAACCATTAAACCCCCAGCTCTTGTGGCCTGTCCCAATGGCAGGCTGAGAAAACCACACATGGAGAGTTTTAAGAGCTTGCAATATGCTGCATCAGACAAACAAACAAAAAAGAAAAATCAACTTAACTTTCAAATACTTGCATTCAAAGAGCACAAATGCAGTAGATTCTCTCATAAGGAAGACTCACTGGCCTGTAAGGGCTGGAGTCATTTTGTGTGTGATATTCCCAACAGCTACACATGCAGCACAGCCAAACACTTTGCAGTATTAGAGCAGTCATATTGCTGTGAGTGTGTCTGTATGAAGATTAGATGTAAAATGCATGAAACATGATCCACATTTTCCAAAGAGAAGCCTGAGGCTAAAAGAGGTTGAGTAACTTGTTGTCTCATAAAGTGCATTCGAGGTAGAGCTGCAGCTCAAAACCATTCCTCTCACCGCTCTGCTCTTCCCACCAGGAGTTCAGGCTCCCGGAGTGTTTAAGATAATAGAAGGGAGCACCTCCTGACAATGATTTTCTCTCCCTGATACATGATCCCCACTGATTTCCCTTCCTAAAAATCTCAAGTGTAAGAACAATAGGTTTTAACTAAATGTCACAAAGATGTCCACTCTTGAATCACTTTTCTCTCTTGGTTCTTTAAACCCCTAAGACATTCAACCTTCTATAACTAAGAAAAGTCTTCAAATGTTCATCCAGTGCAATTCGATGAAAGCTGGGCTCCAGGCACTGGCTAAGGAACCTCCATAGAAAGCATCTGCCCGGAGACAGATGAGGTGGGTCAGCTCCAGTGCTGATTGGCTCCTTTTAGGGACTCTCCAGTCAGACCCTGTGTGGCCGCTCTCACAGGTTTCTATTCTCTGAAGTGGCTGCATCAGCCATCAGGTGGAGCCGGGCTCACTCCCCTTACTTCTTCCTTTGTCTCCATCATGTCTGGGAAGCCGGCTCTGCGGGCCCCCGGAGGCCCCTGGACAGCAGCTGTGATGGTGTGGCTGGTGGCGCTGAGTGTCCCAG